ACCTTAAGGCAACACTATATTACAGAGCATTTACCACCTTTGCTCTCTGAGCTGTCTCTCCCTAAGTCCTGGTATGGTGTTGGCCTGCTAACTGCCAAGGTCGGTGGTTCAAACCCACCAGCTACCACTTGGAAGCTCTATACAGGATCGCTCTGCCTCTAAACCGACTCGACAGCACTTCAGAAGATCAATATTCTTGCTTTTGCTAACTAGAATAGTTCCTTCACCACCACTACGCTCTGTTGCCATAGCACTTTGTACGTACCTCTATCACAGCACCAGTGTAAGCACACTTGGCTTATTAACCAGGGACCAACAGTCTCAACTAGTCAGTACTTAGCTAGCAAGAAGCAAAGAGACCTCTAATTTAACATCAACATTTCAAAGCTTTCAAGAGGGAGAAAACAAGGTGGTGTCTGAAAAGGTATCTCAGAATTAAAACATTAGAATTTGATGCTGAAAGATAGTAGATATTGACCAGATGGATGGGATAAGGGGAACTGGTAAAACATTCCCGTGAGAAAACAGTACAGAAGAAGGCATAGATTCATAAGACATAATGACATTATTTGAGAAATAATTCAGTATGCTTAAGAACTAGAACATGTAGATGAAAGGAATTATCATACGTAGAAAGGACCCAGATTAAGCAGGGCCTTACAGGACATAGGAGCTCTGGTGGTGCTATAGATAAGCACAAGACTGCTAATCACAAGGTCAGCAGTTCTAATTCACCAGCCGCTTGGTGGGAGAGAGATGAGACTTTCTGTTCCAATAAGGGTTTACAGTTCAGAAACCCTATACAGAGTCGCATAAGTCAGAATCAACAGTGGGTTTGGTTTTGGGGTTTTACAGGGAATACTAAAGAGATCAGATTTAATCCATAGGCCAGGTGACGGGAAGTCATTAAAAATTTAGAAAGTGACATGATTTTATTTTTTCATATTAGAAAGATGACAAGTGACAGTGTATGAAATAGGGGATAGACTAAGGTAGAAGCAGAAATAAGAAGCAAGGAAGCCAGTTAGAAGACCATGGGCAAATGAGAAATAAGTCGCTAAATCAACAAAATTGGAGCGTAGCTAATAAGGAAACAGATACAAAGAATTGGGAGGCAAAAATGACTTGGTAATGGTAAGTTACATCTGGTTCTTCACAGGCTCCAAGGCAGCAAATTAGTTATTTCTTCTTTTTGTGCTTCAGTTTTTTTATCTGTAGATGGGAATAATAATCCCCATGAAAACCTCATATATGTAAATCACTTAAGACACTTAGACTACATTAGAAGAAGGGTTGTTGTTGTTGTTAAGTGCCTTGGAGTCGGTTCCAACTCATGGTGATCCTGTATAGGGTTTCCGAGGCTATGAATCTTTGCAGGAGAAAATCTCAACTTCTTCCTGTGCAGCAGTTGGTGGGCTTGAGCTGTTGACCTTGTGGTTTGCAGTCCAGTGTTTATCCTATGGAACTACCACACTCTCAGAAGAGAGGTGTGGTGGTGGTAGGCAGAAGCAAATATGCTAAAAACTCAATAATAAATAAAAGAAGGAAATGGTATACTATAATAGTAATATGTGGTGATTTACTGTGAAGACAAAAATAGTATGACATTCTTTAACAGTCTTTGAGCACATGTTTAAACAATAGTGATCAATTTGAATCTAGTTAAAATTATAATTGTTGTTGTTAAGTTATAGTACCGACTGCTATTTCCCTTCAATTTTACATTCTGAGTTTGTAAATGGGTATTAAAGTAAAACTTTCCATGTGAGTTTCTCTAACACAAGGAAGAAAAGTGAGCTAAGTTTTCAAAATGTAATCTTTACTTCAAGATTGCCAGTCTGAACTGAGTCCATACCAACAGAGTTACTAATAGTTGGTTATGGCTTACGTAAAACTTGTACAGAACAGGTGTCCACGCCTGCAAACTCTTGACCACAATTGACTCCCTTGTTGGTGCTACTACTATAGGGAAGTGTTGAAAGGACTGTTGTAAGCTTTTCTATATATGAAGCACCAGAGAGCTAGGAAAGACTTGTACAATGCATAATAGGGAGCATTAAAAGGCCACCGGGGCATTTGCCTAATTTACTACTTTTTGAGCTGATCAAACAGATGACCCTTGATCTAAAACTCAGCAAATTCTAGTTTTGACAATGAAGAAAATTCAGCTACTGAGAAACTTTGAATCTGGGATTCTGTTTGAGAATTCTCTCTTAACAGGCAGTGTTTCAGTCTTAACAGTAAGAGCTACAGTGTTAGAACCAGAGATTCCTAACATTAGTTCATAAACAGGACACAAAAGTCAAAACTCAAGCTAAGCTGAATATATTCATAAATAGTGACTTGAATAAAAAATGAAAAATTATGGAGTAAGATTATTTTTGTTGGTTTTTTAAAAAGTATACACAAAGGTTGTCTACTGAGTCCTTTTATTTAATCGGCTCATAAGTACACATAACTTGGTTTATAAGTTAGTTCGAAAATTTCAAATATACCTATATAGTGTGTAGCGTAGTGGTTACAAATTGGGCTGCGAACCGCAAGGTCAGCAGTTCAAAACTACCAGCTGTTCTGCGGGAGAAAGATGAGGCTTTCTGCTCCTGTAAAGATTTATAGCCTCGGAAACCCTGTGCAGGGTCGCTATGAGTCGGAACCAACTCCACAGCACATAGCCAGCCAGCCAGTGTGTAAATTAAGATACTTATACTTCAAATCAGATTTTTTGTTATGAAATATAGAAGTGACATATAATTAGATGTTAAAATTTTGGCTTAAGTTAAAGCTTAAGGTAGATTCTTTGATCAAGAGTAGAAAACAAACAGCCTAAGGTTATTATTGTAGCTTTGAAGTTCTGTTGCTGTGGTTAGGTGCCTTCAAGTCAGTTCCGACCCATAGCGACCCTATAGGATTTCCTAGGAGTGACTGGTGAGCTTAAATCACTAACCTAGTGGTTCAAACCGACTTTGCAGTCCAGCGCATTAACCCACAGCGCCACACCAGGACTCCTGAAGTTGAATAGAAGTAAGCAAATTAACCTTTAAAAAATCAAATCTTATGCCATTTAGTTGATTCTGACCCATAGCGACCCTATAAATCTTTGAAAGAACAGATCATCTTTCTCCTGCAGAGCTGCTAGTGGGTTTGAACCGTTCACCTTGTGGTTAGCAGTGCTTATCCCACAACAATACCACCAGGGCTCTAAGACTCTCATTTTTCTTCTCTCTAAATTAAAATGTTTCATGTATGAACAATAAGTTTTCTGATAAATCAATTCAATTTTATTATGGCATAATTTTTCTAAGCATGCTAGCAATAAAGGCTGCAGAGAAGGCTATAACATGCAAGTGACTAATAGAGGTGAACCATTTCAAACCAGAAACAGGAAAACTGGAGCCATGCAGTCCTTAACTAGGAAGTGGCAGACCGAACAATTTTTAGAATAGAACAATTTTTACCTTCAAAATCCAAGAATTAAAACAGTCTGAAGACCAGAAAATAAGAGTGCTTAAAATGATTAAAATATAAAAGGATTACTATTCATCATGAACACATTTGGATAAAATGAATAAGAAACAAACAGATTTGGAAAAAGAACCAATAGAACTAGTAGAAATGAAAAACATGTGCAATGAGTACAGACAATGCCCATGAAGGGTTTTAGAGACTGGAAAATCAATGACTGCAAATGTTATTGAAATATTATGCAAGAATATACAACCCTTTTCCTACCCCTACATCTCCTGATTTTAATATCATGTTAATACATAATTAAAATTCAAACACCTTATATGCATATGAAAACTGGTTGATGAAGAAGGAAAACAGAAAAATA